TGACTAGCGATCTCCGGTCTGCAACAGAAGAAGTGTCAATTCATTTACCGGACATTTAACTTACGAAGAAATCGATAAGCGTACCTGTCAGAGGTCTCGTAGATATGTCGGATTGGTGCAATCCATGCTTGGACAGGATCATCTTGGTCACGAGCGTCATGTGGAAGAGTAGCAGCAGCGACGCCGCCGCATCCGTAATGACCCATCACAATAACGTGTTTAACACGTAAAGAGTCGACAGCGTATGCTAGAACAGCTTTCCTGTGTTGTTGATTAGATCATTGGGTGAGAACAGGGAAAGGAGGGGAAGGAGGACATACGAGTTGAGATCGTGTTCGTGAAACTGGTTTGCAACATTCCCCGTGGTAAAGAGAACTCCAGGTTCTACTGAGAAGATGACTTGTTCCCCAACCCTGTCTTCGGTCAGCATAGTCAGAAAAGGATAAATGTACTGTGACGTACCTGCTATCAGAGCAATCCAGCAATAAGAATGGTGGTCCTGCAGCCACATTACTTGAGCAGCATGATCAGACTTTCAGGATTTAAATAACGCACGTTGCCCTTGTGCTGCGAGATCCTTGAGCAGGTTCGGTGTCGCTGAAGCCGCTACTGCGTCGCGAAAACGCTGGTTGCCTCGGTACAGTGCCTCGATCTCGGGCGGGAAAAAAGTGCTCGTGCTCGTTTGATGTCCTTGTAGAGTTGCAGAATCGAGACACGCAGGTGTAGGGATGCGATTGAGCAATTTCCATGTACTCCCTTTTGGGTAACTGGGCGAGCTTGAACACGTCCTCAATGTTCCCCAGTGGACACGGATTGCAACTTGGGCACGTAAAGATTGGTACAGACGTGGTGCTCTGGCTGGGGCCCGTAACGCTGCAAGAAGCATGAGGAGACAAGGTGGAGGCCAAGTAGCATTGGCGTCAGGAAGAGTTGGTTTAGTGTGCGCTACGGATCATTCTCCGGTGGCTGTACTCTCCGCTTGTGAGGATCGAAGGTTCAAAAAACAAGTTGACCAAGTTATAACCCCGCTTGGCTGTACGCAGACCATAAACTCGCACGCTTTACCCAACGTCACCTCGCACGCCTCCAGTAGAGGTGGAGGCTCTTCTGATTCATCCTTCCCCGTCACAGCATTCTGACTTATGCCTTCCGAAACGACTTTGCAAAGACGTGATCTGCCTTTTCCTCAGGAGATCATTGATCTGATTGTCGAGGACATCTATTCAGTAAACCATCTGCCTATCTCAGACACTGTCCGTAACACTCTCAAAGCCTGCACTTTCGTATCTCGTTCGTTCCGTGAGAGTGCACAGGCATTTCTGTTCGCGACCATCACTATCACCTTCCAAGAACGTGATCCTGCTCACTCCCCGATGGCGGAATTTCGTCATCATGTTGTATTTTTGATACCGGTCATCGTGTCAAGTTGCAAACCTTGACCAGAATGAATTTCCAACTGTTTATCTGCACCTTCCCAATCTCAAAGCCTTGTTCATTGAAGGGTGCGATGGACTGGAATGGCCGTCAATAGCTTCTTGGTTCAGAAAAGGATTTTACTCAATGATGCAGCTGCCCACACTTACAACACTGAGGATGGATAATATTAATAGCTTCCCGGCGGTAGCGTTTAAACCTTGCAGCCAGCTCCTAGAGCTCACTGTTGCCCTGTGCATCTTCACTGCAGACATCGACATCGACGAGGAATGTGCCCTTATACTTTCCGTATCAGCGAGTTCGACCAGACGAGGTTGCCTCAACGGCTTCAGCTACGCTATTGTCCGGAGTTCGACTATTGACCCGCTTATAGACGCACCTAGTGATCCTTCTTCACTTCTATCAATTATCCGCCTTCAGAAGCCCGAGGCTTCTATAATCGATGACAAATCATACACTCATTTTCAACGCATCCTTCAACTCATATTTCCATATCTTGAAGACCTCGCCGTGTGGTTCGGAATGAGTATGCAAATTCACTTATTTAAGTGCATAGCAAATATGGACCTTAATCTATTCAACAGACCGTTCTTGCCGTGTTCTCCGATTTCCGAGCCCCCAAATATTACATCAAGTCACACTTTCTTTCCCGAATGTGGCTAGTTTCGACGAGGTGGTTTCTCACCTGTCCAGCTTGGCTTCAGATCATTCCAACCTGTCCGAGTTAAGGTTTATCATTACCCTCAACATGGGGTTGACTTCCGTACGTAACTTTGTTCCCGAGGTCATGGCTGGATTCACACTGTTGGACGGCCAACTCATGAGTGAGCCCTATGTCACGCAATTAAAGCTCACACGACTTGTACTGTATGTTCCTATCTTTGAAGGCGAGGCAGACGAAGAAATCCAAAAAATTCTTGAGCTCATATTGCCGCGCTTCCGATACACGCGTTGTGTTGAAGTTGTCCACTCGTCGGACCCGGCATTTCCGTCCTTTGGAGGTTGGCTAAGTCATCACTTCAAATGGACATTGGTAAATCTATATCTATGACTCTACTGTGATGCAGGATTGTAGTCACAAGGTAGCTCATTAATATGATATATATGTATATATTATCATTTTGCATATATACGAGCTTTTATCGTCTAGTAGAATGGTCAAGCACATATTAGCAGAAGACTATAGGATATGATAACGTCGAAAATCCCTTGTTGTCTCTGCGGCGGAGCAGGCCTAGAGACCTACAATTGAGCCTATGTACTTGCTTACCTGAACTTCAGTCGGTTCCATGCAAGAATTGGGGGAGACGGTAGAGGCCCAGGCCCGGCCAAGCAACATTGGCGTTAAATAGGAAAAATTTAGGTCCTTGACATTAAAACTCGCGTTTACTTGGACGCGTTTCCCTCTGTACTTCTTTAAGTACCCAAAGCAAAATACTTACTCCTCGTACTTAATTGACCATCTGCGGGTGATGAAAACATGAAACGAGATTTTGTAAGCTTTGAAAGGGATTTCTTCGAGGTTTTGAACGTCCTTGTCCCGGGAGGGTAAGTAATCAAGTGTATCTTGCTTATCTTGCCAAAATAGGTACTCAAGAGGTGAACAATGGAAGGGAAAGCATGCCTCTATTCAACATTTTTATATACATCACCACCACGAAAAGATGATATCTTCTCTGATATGCGGAGAACATTTTCAGGACTCCACAACAACAGAAAACGTTGTCGACGAATGTGGAAGTAGTGTCGAGGTCTTATTCTTGAGTTCGACCGATCGATATCGTTGTGAGTCGAGCTTCAGATACCTTAACTTTGTTGCGTGTCGATCCCTCGTTAGTACCTCATCGAGCCGGCGCCAAATGATTTTGTTTCCCAAGACACTCGACGACGACATGATAGTTCCGACAATGCGAATAGGTGTTAGTTGGATTCGGGTGTTCCTTCTAAGAATGAAATGATCCTCAAAAGGTGTGTCGAGCTTGTTGGTGAGAAGGTTGCGCTTCGCAAAATACCAGGACTGGGAAGGTCTAAAATTTCCCATGAGACTTCAAAGGCTAAGACACAAAAGTCAAGAACTGTATATGGGGTGAAGACGTTACGTATGAGGCTGGAAAGAAATATCCAAGTGAATCAGAGATGAAACAACAATACGAAGGATTGTTCGTAAGGCGGTATGTGTCGCTTCGTTTTGAATGGTGACTCTAAGTTCCCGGAGACAAACGATGGACAAGGGCGACGTCTGCTTGATCATTTCATTAACAAGGTCAGGAAATGTGTAGTTCTGATACTCTCTCTAGTTTCTCAAGGTATCCCTGCTGACGCGGAATTCCTGGCGTCGAAAGGAGGGCGTTGGTGGTGTCAGTAACATTAGAGAGCACAATCGAACTGTCAACGGAGAGTTCTTTCAGGCGATGACGAGTGTTCAGAATTGCAAGAGGAAAATCTTCAATGTCGCGAATCTCTAGGGCGCGAAGGCCAGGCGCACGTATCATTTTCAAGATATCGCTCCCGCACTCCTTTGCGCGCACAAGACTCCAATTCAACAAGAAATCCGATTTCCCACCATCAATTTTGAGGTAAGTCAAGTTTGGTAAGGTTGAGATGGGAAGGGAAACATAGGGCTCATCGATGACGGTTGGATATACGACGACAGAAAGTTTTTTTTACGAAGGAGCGCAACCGGTTGCTGGAAATGAGAGCTTTCTTCACCGTCAAATGTAGTTTATCCTCAGAATCAGGAAAATGGATAATGACGTCGTAAAAAAGTAGCTTTTGTGCTGTGTCGCGAAAATGGGAAGACACCAAACGTGGCCAGAATATGCCTCGACATCGATGTCAGTTGCAACTTCCTCGAGAATAGCGTTGATAAGTTCTGCAGGGAGTATAGGATGAGGACCCACGTCAAAAGGAAAAGTGATTGTGGTGGTAAGTGATATTGTGCCGCCGTGTTTGTTGTTTTGAAACGCAAAGAGTCGAGTGACTTGCCTAAGTTGGTCCAATGTCCCAACGATTGGATCTTTCTGCGATGCATCAACATCTGTCGCTATCTGTCGTTATATATTTGATCTAGCATGCGTACTATCCACTCTTCTCGAACGAGTCTCCGAGCACTGGCCGCTTCTTCCTGGCTCGCTACTCTAAAAGGTACCTGGACAACTGCCTCTGATTTCTTATCTGTCAGATAACAGTATAATCTGACTTGATGAGTACAAATTGCTTTGTCCCAAGGTCCCGCATCTTTGTGCATGTCTGGAATTCTATATGTGAACAATTTTCTCTCTGTAATCACTCCGGAATTTTCTTCTCGTATCTAGGATCAGAAGATGGGGCCAGGCTAAGTATGTAGGATCCATCCTTCTATGCCTCACGTCAAACATATATAAGTGCCGCGCTTGGGAATCAACAGGCTTTAATCGGGATACATCTCAATGTTTGTCACCTATCTCCAGCTAACCTAATTTCCGCTCACGTTCATAACTGACATGGAGTGAGACCGCAGCCGCAGTCATCCCAACTCTCTCACCCAGCCCTTGCCAGACAGAGGCTCTCTTCCTCTACGAATGTATGGGCACATGGTGTAGTTGGTTATCACGCCCGCTTAGCATTTGTTGGTTGTTAATTGCTGATTTGCGGGCGGTCCCCGGTTCAATTCCGGGTGTGTCCATCAAGATTAGGAAATGTTTTTTCTTGTCAGCTATCGTTCGAAACAAGAGGGTCTCAACTCTCGACTGTACTCAAGCTCGATTCATGGCCACATGTACTTTGTTGTTACATAAGCCCCAACCTCTAAAGTTCTCACGCCACACCAGTGTGTCCATGTTTGTTCTGTGTGTTCCTGACACTGACTACGCCACCACCCTCGCCATGTTCCCGCTAAATTGAAACTCTGCGCTATCATCTTTGACTAATTTTCTTCATCTACAGTGTTATACTCATTCCTTTTGTAACTTCGGCTCAATCCTGATCCGATCACTGTTACAATCAGCCCATGGTTTATCTATAGATAAAGTTTTAAGGACTTCTAACTCGCTTCCCACCCAACCGTTCTACACTGCACATTCCACTTGCATGTACTCTCGAACCATTTTTCCACAAGAAATCTATGACCTTATCCTTGACGCAGTATCCTATGTCTCCTCGGTTGATTCATATTTGGACTGTAATATCAATTTTGTTGAGTCAAACACAAAACTAAGTTTTTACAGGAGATTGCAGTAAGTCCCTTAGGGCCTTAGGGAACTCCCACTACTGCAACCCCCTTCTAGGTGAGCCATAGCAGCTGTCCTCACTCTAGCAATGAATTTTAATTGATTCCATTCCACCACTTGATCAGATGTGGGAAGGAGAATGGCTCACCTCGAGACTGTGGCCAGAGTATTCGGGCTTTGTGGTGATGGTAAGCAGTTGTTCACCGGATACCGGGACAGAGTTGTTTGTAGAGTCGAAGGGCGTGGCTGTAGGAGTGACGGGTGCGATGACGAAGGGTGACATGACGATCGGGGTCGGAGAGACTTTGTTGCCTCGTAGATACGCGTACATTCGTAGCTCCTATTGCGTGTCGTTCTCAGTAAGATCATGTAGCACAGATGAATACAAAACGTACCTCGAGGCTGAAGAATTGGTAAAGGGGCATGGCAGAGAGAGTGTGAAAGGATTCGCCTTCCAGTTTAGTTGCGGTGAACTCCTGGGCGGCAGGAAGAGCAGAGGGATCGCGTGTAGAGGATTGCGTTGAGTTGGTTCCAGTTAGCTTTGAATCCGAAAGGGGCTCGAAGAGGGGTGGTAAGCCTGCACGAGTACGAGAAGCAGAGTCTGTCGGGATTTGAGGACAGGGAAGAGGAGGGCGACCGGTGGCATTGTAGGCGCGGATGTAGTCGTCAATGCGGAGCTCCTGGAGAAAGAGGTGAGGGAACGGTGCGCATGGGAAGAATAGGACATGCCTCGAAACTTTTGCCGGGAGACTCGTACGCCACGGCGACGGACATGTAAAGTGTGTCAGACATCCAAGATGCAGGAGAACAACATGCAGGAATTTGGTCAGCGGCAAGCTCTGCGACGTCCCTCCCGATAGGCTGTCAACAAATTTCCTTATGGGGCACATGGTGTAGTTGGTTATCACGCCCGCTTAGCATTTGCGATTCTTGATTTGCGTGCGGGCGGTCCCCAGTTCAATTCCGGGTGTGTCCATGTATCTGTTGTTGTAAGCATTTTGCCAGCTACCGTTCAAAACAAGAGGGTACACATTCAGATACTCTCGCCTCTACTTTCAAGGATCCCATGGCCTACTCTACACTTTGTATAGTTAAAGCTCAATACTTTGTAGTTACATAAGCTCAACTCTTAAGTTCTCACGCCACACCAATCTGTCCATGTTTGTTCTGTGTGTTCTTGACGTTGACTACGCCACCCCCGCCATGTTCCCGCTAAATTGAAATTCTGCGCTATCATCTTTGATTAACTTTCTTCATGTACAGTGTTATACTCATTCCTGTAACTTTGGCTCAATCCTGATCCGATCACTGTTACAATCAGTCCATGGTTTATCTATAGATAAAGTTTTAAGGACTTCTAACTCGCTTCCCACCCAACCGTTCTACACCGCACGTTCCACTTGCATGTACTCTCGAACCATCTTCCCACAAGAAATCTACGACCTTATCCTCGACACAGTACCCTATGTCTCCCCGGTTGATTCATATTTGGAACACCGCAAAACCGCGCCCGCATTACTGAACTGTAGCCTCGTGTGCTCTTCTTTTCGCGCCAAGGCACAAAAGCGTCTATTCCACGACGTTTCTATTCATTTCCCTAATTCCGAGTCCAACAGCTCTTGCCGCCGGAACTTACTGAATCAAATCTTGATGTCGAACGAACGGCTGCGTAACTTTGTGATAAAGCTTCGCATCGTGTTAGAACCGGCCCTCCCCATATCCTACGCCTCGTTCCCCTCTTTACGGAATCTAGCCCATCTAAACATCACGGGTGACAATTTAGAGGAACCTTTGGACTGGTCTTGGATGCTTAGCTCAGATTGGGAGACGTGCAAGAGCGATATCTTCAAAATGATGCACGTGCCCACCCTCCGCACATTGAAGATCTACAAAATCTTTGAGTTTCCCGTTGGAGTTCTCTTGACTTGTGGTCAGGTGCAGGAGCTTTATGTTGATCTGAGTTCTGTCACGCTCGATGGCAACTCAAACACGACCGACAGCGACCTCCTCCCGATGTTACCGGTACAACAGGGCTACCTCGAGGGTCTGGACTTCTCCTACTACACATTTCCTCTTCTCGTCGAGGCACTCAGGTCCAATCCTTCATCTTCTCTCTCCATCGCTCGGCTTCAAAAACTCCGGCTGAGCATTTTCGAAAGAGAAACTGAAGAGGCCGTCCAAGAGGTCCTCAAAATAGCCGCTGCATCTCTCAAACATCTAGAAATCTGTTTTGAGCCTTGTGCGTATTATTTCTCTCTTCCTTGATACTATTCATGAAATTATCGATCTCATTCCAGTTTTCGAAGCGTCTTGGGAAACTTTAAATCTCCCTGATCCTAGCATCCTACGGCACCTCACATTCTCTGTGACGGTATGGGAAGACTACTGGAACATAAACTCATTCCTTGAGCAAATGCCTACAGCCAACAATCTCGCTGGTATGCTCATATACCTACATTCCGATTGTGCAGATGACTCGTCGACATGGCAGCAGCTCGACAAGTTGCTAGCTAGAATGGCTCAGTTTCAATGTCTGGAGGTACGAGTAGGATCTGAGTGGACTGACCTTGGGAATGATCTTCCGGAATTATTGCCACGCCTGGCGGGGTCGGGTCAGCTCGTTGTGACCTATCAACCGAGCTATTCAAACCCAATAACTGTACATGGGATCGGTCCTATCGATACTTGAAGACGTCGAGGGTTGTGGCTACCGTTTTCACAGCTTCCTAGACCCTCTCGCTAGCTTCGTATTTTTTTTTTCTATGTTCCACTCTTGACAATAGTCGTTTCCTATCATCACTGTATTTCCTAGCCGATAGCCCTCACTGGTAGTGCCATTGTTTGACAATGGCATTGTCATACCATCATGACTCACTTCGCCATGACTCTATTGGACTTCGAATAAACCCATATACAGCTGCTTAATCTCAAGTATCTACTGTAGTTTGAACTCACCCGCAATCTTTTCCTTTTGCGCGCTCAAGCATGCAATCCCAGTGCAGCTATCAAAGCTTAAAGCGAAAATCTGGATCATGGCGCACAAGCGGCGAAGAGACAAATGGGAGCATACTCTTCGGATGCCGATGTTTCCAAGTTTCTTGTTCGAGCTGATTTGGAGGTCAAAGTCAACTGTACAACTGTTAGTGAGTACTTTCCTGGCTTGACTCACCTTGTCACGGATGTTCTGCTCGATGGATGGGCCATCTCTCAATCCTAGTTCAGGTCCACTCAATGTCATTTTCGCAGCTCACTAATATGCACTTAGTGTCTACAGTGTGCCCTGTTCGACCCAGAACATGACATATTCATCAACCATTTGATCAATTTTAGTCTTTCCTACATATGTTTTCCACTCCAACTCTTCTTGACTGAGACCGCAGCTACATGTATGAGCTTGCTCCCACCTCTAGCACAGAACACAACACTGTTTGTTGCACATTGGGTACATCTGTTAGATAGTACCGATGTACCCTCTGTTCTTCTGTCTATCAGTTTATCAAAGAAAGTTCCTAGTCTAATTGATTTATTTCAGCATCATGGTGAGCTTACTTGTCTTCAATATATGAGGACTGAATTAGAAGTGTTTATCTGTCACTTGTTCCTGCTTCAAGTTTTGTGTTGCTATTTCTTAATGTATTTCTCAATAGTATGTGTCTGGCCCAGCTTCAGGCCATCAGCCAGGCCAAGCCAAGCCAAAGGGGGCAGCCTGGTGAGGGCTTTGGCCTGGCTCATGATACTGAAAAGCCAAAGTGGCAGCCCAGGCCCTGGTGTTCAGGAGGATAGCTCAAAGATAGCTGTTAATTGTAAATTTTGTTGCAGGTTGGTGTTTGTAGCTAACAAATTCTATTGGGACATACCTAACACAAACTAACACTTGAAAATGTGATGATATTTGATTGAAGCTGAATGATGAGTTGAAGTGAAATCATATTCTCTCCATATTTTATGTGTATTGTATTGTGTTTTGAATTTGCTTGCAGCTCCCTGCTGAGAGCCTTAGCCTGGGCCAAGCCAAGCTGGAGCCAGGGCTGGCTTTGGATGCTTTGGCTTGGCCCAAGAGTTGGTCTGAGCCAGAGCCACCTCAAGCCAGGCTGGAACATCACTATTTCTCAAGTAGCCAATAGTGCGTTAGAGGGAGATTGAGAACATCTATTTTGTTTAGTGGGGCTTTGCTTTGTTTTGTATTACTTACAAGAAATTGATAGGAGAACATACTACTTATTGTTATTCAAGATGGATTGCTACATAGTCAGTACAAAGTAGTAGTTATAGTAATACTTGGCAAGAAAATGGATGTATGACAATTACAACATAATTTCATTAAGTAGAGAAAGGATAAATGGATTTCCACCCATTACCAAGATACTGAGGTTCAATCTGAAGATAGCATAGATGATCAGTGCTTATGATCATTTTAGTATATGTTGTGTAGAGTGCCCTTTGCATGTGGTCAGGC